CCTGATGGGTAGCCAGTACAAGGCCTCCAGGATAGGGGTAATTTGGTCACTTTTACCAGACTAGCGAGGATTCTGGCAGCAGAATTTTGTACATATTGTAGTGGATTAATAGTGGATTTAGGTACACCAGCGCGTAGAGCATTGCAATAGTCAAGTCGGGATCAGCTCTTCAGCTACAGTGTATGACAGCTTAGGAGACAGCCAAGATATGTTTCTCAAGTGGAAAAAAGATGTTCTGACAATATTTTGCACGTTTTTCAAAGTTTAAGCTAGCATCAAATATCACCTCTAGATTTTTCAATTTAGACTGAAGCTCATGTACAGTGCCATAAAAAAAAACTACCAGGACTGGCTCTACACCATTGATGGGGGTGCCAATAAGCATGAGTTCAGTCTTTTCACAGTTTATTTTTTTTTATATCACAAATACAGTTAGATAGGAGATCAGCAGCCAAAGTAGAATCCGGTTTAGTGTGGATGTATATCTGAGTGTCGTCAGCAAAGAAGTGATAATGGAGCCCATGTGGAAATGCTAAAAAGTAACGGACCCAAGATTGAGCCTTGGGAAACACTGTACTTGGCTGGACCAACTTCAGACTGAAATTTGCCAAGAGAAACAAAGTGACAGCGACCAGTAAGATATGACTTAATCCATTTCATAGCCAATTCTGAGACTCCAAATAGGGTTTCAAAGTGAGAGAGTTAAAGATTGTGGTCTACAGTATCAAAGGCAGAACTAAGATCCAGTAGAATAAGAATAGTTAATGAGCCAGAATCAGATGCTAATAGAAGGTCATTAGTGACTTTGACCAAGGCAGTTTCTGAGCTGTGTAGTTGGCGAAAACCAGATTGGAGGGTTCAAATAGGTTATTTAAAGCCAGGTGGTTATGTAACTGAGATATCACAACTCACTCGAGGATCTTGGCAAAATAGGGCAAGTTAGATATGGGATGAAAGTTATTTAAATTGTCCAGAGCCATGTTAGGTTTTTTTGGTAATGGGGTGATAGCGGCAGTTTTAAGGATCGTGGTACAGAACAGTACCGTATTTTCCAGCGTATAAGACTACTTTTTAACCCATGAAAATCTTCTCAAAAGTCGGGGGTCTTCTTATACGCCGCTATACGGCGTGCTGACACTTCCGCCGCCCCCCCTTCCAACGGAAGGGACATTAAGTACAGGGGCAGGCAGGGGGCTGCTGTTCCTTAACTGGCTCTGGTCCCAGTCCCACGATGATCCAGTCCAGGAAGCGCAGCTGCTCCTTCATTCAGTTCGGCCGCTCCCTCACACGATGTTCGCGCGCCCGCTCGGCTATGCCTCTTCACTGGTGATTGGGCGCCAGAACTGTAGCTCAGGAAAGGCACACAGGCGGCCAATCACCTGCGAGAAGGCAGAGCCGAGCGGGCCCCCGCGAACATCGAGTGAGGGAGCGGTTGGTAAGTGTGCCATGGAGATGTTGCTGCTGCAACCACGTATGCTGACTGCAGCAGCACCATGCTGGAACAGGGGTCAGCAAGTGTCATTGGTGTCAGTGGGAGGAATAGTGCCCCATCATTGGTGTCACGGATACTAATGATGGGGCATTATTCCTCCCACTGACACCAACGATGGGACACTATTCCTCCCCCCACTGACACCAACGATGGGGCACTATTCCTCCCCTCCCACTGACAACAATGATGGGGCACTATTCCCCCCTCCCACTGACACCAACGATGGGGCACTATTCCTCCCCCCACTGACACCAACGATGGGGCACTATTCCTCCCCCTCCAACTGACACCAACGATGGGGCACTATTCCTCCCCCCCCTGACACCAACGATGGGGCACTATTCCTCTCCCTACTGACACCAACAATGGGGCACTATTCCACCTCCCACTGACACCAATGTTGGGATACTATTCCTCCCACTGACACCAATGACAGGGCACTATTCTTCCCACTGACACCAAAGACGGGGCACGATTCCTCCCACTGACACCAAAGATGGGGCACGATTCCTCCCACTGATACCAATGATGGGGCACGATTCCTCGCTCTGACACCAATGATGGGGCACGATTCCTCCCACTGACACCAAAGAAGGGGCACTATTCCCCCCACTGATACCAATGATGGGGCACTATTCCTCCCACTGATACCAATGATGGGGCACTATTCCTGCCACTGACACCAATGATGGGGTGCTATTCCTGCCACTGATACCAATGATGGGGCACGATTCCTCCCACTGACACCAATGATGGGGTGCTATTCCTCCCACTGACACCAATGATGGGGCACGATTCCTTGCTCTGACACAGATGACGGGGCACTATTCCTCCCACTGACACCAATGATGGGACACTATTCCTCCCACTGATACCAATGATGGGGCACTATTCCTCCCACTGACACCAATGATGGGGCACTATTTCTCCCACTGACACTGATGGAGTACTATTCCTCCCACTGACACTAATGATGGGATACTATTCCTCACACACTATTCCTCACATGATGGGGCACCATCATTGGTGTCAGTGGGAGGAATAGTGTCCCATCATTGGTGTCAGAGCGAGGAATCGTGCCCCATCATTGGTGTCGGTGGGAGATATAGTACCCCATCATTGGAATACCATACTGAAATACCATACCATATTGAAATCAAATCTGATGTTTTTTAATTTTTATTTGGTGTGCGTTGGAAGAGGGGTAGTCTTATACAGCGAGTATAGCCCAAACCATATATTTTAACAGGAAAAGTAGGGGGTCGTCTTATATGCCCAGTCGTTTTATATGCCGGAAAATGAGTCATTTATGCTATTGAAAATAATGGATCATAGAGAACTAAAACAGGATTTAAAAAAATGGGTGGGAATAAGATCAACCATGCAGGTGGAAACTTTGATATTAGAGACCAAATTATTCAGAGGTGCAGAGTCAAGTACAGAGAAGTGGGAAAGACAAGAACCAGTAAAACTGGGTGGGTCAGGAAGTGATATGTAAGAAATGTGTGGGGAGGTAAGAGTTTGATGCCTTATCAAAAAGATTATAGACTGCACAGATAGACATCATTTTGCCCCATACAAATTACTAGTAATACCTCATCTAGAATATTCAGTTCAGTTTTTTGGCACCAGTTCACAAAAAGGATATCAGGAAACTGGAGAAAGTACAGAGAAGGGCTACCAAACTGATACAAGGCATGGAGGAGCTCAGCTATGAGGAAAGATTAGAGGAACTGAATTTATTCTCTCTTGAGAAGAGGAGATTAGGGGGGATATGATCAACATGTATAAACACATATACCAGTGGTCCATAAAGGGAACTAGGTGTAGAGTTAGTCACTTTAAGGTCATCACAGGGGACAAGGGGGCACTTTTTACATCTGGAGGAAAAGAGATTCTTCACAGTAAGAGCTGTGAAAACATGGAATAGACTCCCACAAGAACTGGTTCTGTCCAGCTCAGTAGATTATTAAACAAAAAATTGGATGCATTGCTAAATGCTCAAAATATAACTGGATATTAATATTTAGAGGTAATAACGGCAGGGGAGTTTAATACAGGGAATATCAGATTGCCTTATGGAGGATCAAGAAGGAATTTTTTTCCCCCAATAGGGTGAATTGGATCATGCTTTGTTGGATTTTTTCCTTCCTCTGGATCAGCTGTGGGTATAAGATTGTGTATGTAGAGGTTTCTATTTTTGTTCTGTTTATGGGTTGAACTGGATGGACTAGTGTCTTTAAAAAAAAATGGATGGTAAAACACTATAGGGCACTATGTGGTTAAAGGTGAAGGTATTTTTTTTTAATTCAATAATTTTTTTATATGACATTTAAATTAATGTAATAAAGGTTTATTAATTTGGTAAGTGGAGGCTCACAGTGTCCTTGTATAGAATGTCCCTTTTCAGGGGTTTTTCCCATCCGTTTGTTTAAAGTGCACACTGTAGGCTAAAGATTACCCCTAAAAATGGGAAGAGTACACTTGGTACTGATCTATGTAGTCATAATATCTTCCATGCTCTATTTTTATTTGATAGTGTCTTTTTTCAACCTAATTAAGTAACTACATTTGTAACAATGGATAGCTAATGATCATTCTACTGGATTATAGAATGTAATAAAATACTAACGTTTGAAAAAATTACACACAAGCAGAGAGGCATTATTAAAAAACATAATTTTATATGGAATCGGTGGCATAAAATGGGAGTAGGGCGCTAAATATGCACCAGAACATGGGATTGTGAATTGCAGAACCATCCATTAGGTTACAAATAACTAAGAGATGTTGCTTAGTTTAAAAGTTGTCTTTGTTATTAAATAATTGGTCTATATAAAGTGGAATATTCAGATTTAAATGACTGAGTTGCAATGTGATATGTATTGTGTGTACATTTATTTGCCTGTGTGTAGTTGTAATGTTTGTAGGCTTTCTAATTGTTTTGTGAATGGAAGGATTTTGTTTTTGACAAAAAAAATAAAATCTGATTAAAATAAAACAATATATGAAAAGCTGCACATTGTTTTAAGAAAAATTAGATCAATTTTTGCAGATCACTTGCTGTGTAAGCCCCAGGAAATGAAATTTTAGATTCAAACTAAATGTGCTCAAACTTGCTCTTAATTTAAAAAAAAAGCCACACTTTAAGCAATGAGAAAAGAGAAAAACAGGATTGTTCCCTTAAAATGTCTTGCTGCTTCAGTTTCAGAGATTGACAACTGCATTTTTTGGAGAAAAAATTGGTGCAACAAGTTTCAGAAATGGATTCTCCATGTCCACGGTCAGTGTAGTAAACACAGATGTTTTTGTGAAAAAAAAAATTGTTTTTTCATAATATATTGCTGTTTCAGATTCAGAAGATGGCAATTTAATTAGAGATGAGCGAATTATTCAAAAATTCGATTCGGCTGATTCGCCGAATTCGCGGAATAAATTCGATTCGAGGCGAATATATTCGCGGCGAATTTAACTTATAAAAAGGGTGTTTCTAGGCTTCAGAGAGCCTTTATATTAGTGCAGAACACTGTACCTTTAATTTAAATGCCCTTGGAGTCTGCTGGGGAAGAGAAATAATACTGTCAGTCAGTATGACATGCAGATGAGTGCCGTCGATCTTAGAATCACCGCACACTTCACTCATTTGGGCAGTCACGGGGCCAAAACCAGAGTGTGGAGCCACAGTGTGGCGGTGGAGGCAGCAGCAATGGGAGGCCATACAGCACCCTATGACAAAATGGAACCCACCAGCAGTGTGAGGAGACCTGAAAGTGGCACATGGCAGAGTGTGGCGATGGAGACAGCAGCAATGGGAGGCCGTACAGGGACCCATGACACACTCTGGACCTGGCAGCAGCATGAGGAGGCGGTACAGGGGCCCATGACAGATTATGGGCCTGGCAGCAGCAGTGGGCGGGCGGTGGATGCAGCAGTATTCGGAAGCCAAACACAGGCCTCGGTTAAAAAGCGGAAGCCGTCAGCAGCGTGAGCAGACGACAGAGGCACATGGCGCAGGGTGGCGGTGGAGGCAGCAGTATTCGGAAGCCATACACAGGCCTAGGTTAAAAAGCGGAAGCCGTCAGCAGCGTGAGCAGACGACAGAGACACATGGCGCAGGGTGGCGGTGGATGCAGCAGTATTCGGAAGCCAAACACAGGCCTAGGTTAAAAAGCGGAAGCCGTCAGCAGCGTGAGCAGACGACAGAGGCACATGGCGCAGGGTGACGGTGGAGGCAGCAGTATTCGGAAGCCATACACAGGCCTAGGTTAAAAAGCGGAAGCCGTCAGCAGCGTGAGCAGACGACATAGACACATGGCGCAGGGGGTGGCGGTGGATGCAGCAGTATTCGGAAGCCAAACACAGGCCTCGGTTAAAAAGCGGAAGCCGTCAGCAGCGTGAGCAGATGACAGAGGCACATGGCGCAGGGTGGCGGTGGAGGCAGCAGCAATGGAAGGCCATACAGCACCCTATCACAAAATGGAACCCACCAACAGTGTAAGGAGACCTGAAAGTGGCACATGGCGCAGGGTGGCGGTGGAGGCAGCAGTATTCGGAAGACATACACAGGACTAGTTTTAAAAAGCGGAAGCCGTCAGCAGCGTGAGCAGACGACAGAGGCACATGGCGCAGGGTGGCGGTGGAGGCAGCAGTATTCGGAAGCCATACACAGGCCTAGGTTAAAAAGCGGAAGCCGCCGGCAGCGTGAGCAGACAACAGAGGCACATGGCGCAGGGTGGCGGTGGAGGCAGCAGTATTCGGAAGCCATACACAGGCCTAGGTTAAAAAGCGGAAGCCGTCAGCAGCGTGAGCAGACGACAGAGACACATGGCGCAGGGTGGCGGTGGATGCAGCAGTATTCGGAAGCCAAACACAGGCCTCGGTTAAAAAGCGGAAGCCGTCAGCAGCGTGAGCAGATGACAGAGGCACATGGCGCAGGGTGGCGGTGGAGGCAGCAGCAATGGAAGGCCATACAGCACCCTATCACAAAATGGAACCCACCAACAGTGTAAGGAGACCTGAAAGTGGCACATGGCGCAGGGTGGCGGTGGAGGCAGCAGTATTCGGAAGACATACACAGGACTAGTTTAAAAAGCGGAAGCCGTCAGCAGCGTGAGCAGACGACAGAGGCACATGGCGCAGGGTGGCGGTGGAGGCAGCAGTATTCGGAAGCCATACACAGGCCTAGGTTAAAAAGCGGAAGCCGCCGGCAGCGTGAGCAGACAACAGAGGCACATGGCGCAGGGTGGCGGTGGAGGCAGCAGTATTCGGAAGCCATACACAGGCCTAGGTTAAAAAGCGGAAGCCGTCAGCAGCGTGAGCAGACGACAGAGACACATGGCGCAGGGTGGCGGTGGATGCAGCAGTATTCGGAAGCCAAACACAGGCCTCGGTTAAAAAGCGGAAGCCGTCAGCAGCGTGAGCAGATGACAGAGGCACATGGCGCAGGGTGGCGGTGGAGGCAGCAGCAATGGAAGGCCATACAGCACCCTATCACAAAATGGAACCCACCAACAGTGTAAGGAGACCTGAAAGTGGCACATGGCGCAGGGTGGCGGTGGAGGCAGCAGTATTCGGAAGCCATACACAGGACTAGTTTAAAAAGCGGAAGCCGTCAGCAGCGTGAGCAGACGACAGAGACACATGGCGCAGGGTGGCGGTGGAGGCAGCAGTATTCGGAAGCCAAACACAGGCCTCGGTTAAAAAGCGGAAGCCGTCAGCAGCGTGAGCAGACGACAGAGACACATGGCGCAGGGTGGCGGTGGAGGCAGCAGCAATGGAAGGCCATACAGCACCCTATCACAAAATGGAACCCACCAACAGTGTAAGGAGACCTGAAAGTGGCACATGGCGCAGGGTGGCGGTGGAGGCAGCAGTATTCGGAAGACATACACAGGACTAGGTTAAAAAGCGGAAGCCGTCAGCAGCGTGAGCAGACGACAGAGGCACATGGCGCAGGGTGGCGGTGGATGCAGCAGTATTCGGAAGCCAAACACAGGCCTCGGTTAAAAAGCGGAAGCCGTCAGCAGCGTGAGCAGACGACAGGCACATGGCGCAGGGTGGCGGTGGAGGCAGCAGCAATGGGAGGCCATACAGCACCCTATGACAAAATGGAACCCACCAGCAGTGTGAGGAGACCTGAAAGTGGCACATGGCAGAGTGTGGCGATGGAGACAGCAGCAATGGGAGGCCGTACAGGTACCCATGACACACTCTGGACCTGGCAGCAGCATGAGGAGGCGGTACAGGGGCCCATGACAGATTACGGGCCTGGCAGCAGCATGAGGAGTCGGTACGGGGGCCCATGGCAGATTACGGGCCTGGCAGCAGCATGAGGAGGCGGTACAGGGGCCCATGGCAGAGTGGCGGAGCGTAAGCAGCTAAAATTGAAGGCCATACAGAGGCCAATGTTAAAAAGTCCCCCCAGCAGCAGCGTGGGGAGACGACTAATAGTCGTCTCCCCACGCTGCTGCTGGGGGGACTTTTTAACATAGGCCTCTGTATGGCCTTCAATTTAAGCTGCTTACGCTTCGCCACTCTGCCATGGGCCCCTGTACCGCCTCCTCTTGCTGCTGCCAGGTCCAGAGTGTGTCATGGGTCCCTGTACGGCCTCCCATTGCTGCTGACTTCATCGCCAGACTCTGCCATGTGCCACTTTCAGGTCTCCTTACACTGTTGGTGGGTTCCATTTTGTGATAGGGTGCTGTATGGCCTTCCATTGCTGCTGCCTCCACCGCCACCCTGCGCCATGTGCCTCTGTCGTCTGCTCATGCTGCTGACGGCTTCTGCTTTTTAACCGAGGCCTGTGTTTGGCTTCCGAATACTGCTGCATCCACCGCCACCCTGCGCCATGTGTCTCTGTCGTCTGCTCACGCTGCTGACGGCTTCCGCTTTTTAACCTAGGCCTGTGTATGGCTTCAGAATAATGCTGCCTACACCGCCACCCTGCGCCATGTGCCTCTGTCGTCTGCTCACGCTGCTGCCAGGTCCATACTGATTCATGGCCCCCTGTACCGGCTCCTCATGAACGTGGTTCAGCGGGTTTGCATCACTTAACGGCAAATCGTTGACAAACGCTGGGACGTTCAGTGTTGTGCGCATTAAGCCAGACACCAAAGGGCAGCACAGACCTGTTATTACTCACTCAAGCATGGCTGAACAAAACCAGTCTCTACCACAAATTGGACCCAGACCTGCCCAGGGTCTCGTAAGTAGATTGCACGGAGGAGTAGAGTTCGTTATTGGAATTAACTGTGAGGGACTTTTAAACCTAGGCCTGTGTATGGCCTTCAATTGAAGCTGCTTCTGCTCCGCCACTCTGCCATTGGACTCTTGATAGTCGTCGACTATCAAGAGTCCAATGTACTGTCCAAGAGACATGTACTGTCCCTGACCGTAGTTACAGCTCCACACGTCGGCGCTGCCGTGCACTTTGGCAGAGACCGACATGCTCAAAGACTGGCCCACCATCTCTTCTACATGTGAATGCAGGGCTGGCACTGCCTTTTTGGCAAAGAAATGACGGCTTGGCACTCTCCACCGTGGCTCGGCACAAGCCATCATTTCTCGGAAAGGTGCTGAGTCCACCACTTGGAAAGGGAGGGACTGCAGCACCAGCAACTTGGACAGGAGGACGTTCAGCTTCTGCACCGTCGGGTGCGTGCTCGCAAACTGTTGTCTCTTGGAAACGGATTCCAAGAAAGACTGCTGACGGAATCCGTGAAGAGGAGTAGCAGGAGAAGGAGCATCTGAACGAGCGGAAGATGCCAACGAGCGACAACTCCCCTCAGCAGAGGTGTTGGAGCCTTGACTGGCTGATAGAGGGCGATTGACGTCGGGTGATGGAGCAAGTAACGGAGCGGGTGATGGAGCGGGGGCTGGGGCAGGCAGAACCGCCGTATCTTTATCACGGTTTTCCCAGGCCACCGAATGGCGACGCTGCATATGCTGACGCAACGCTGTAGTCCCAACATGGGCCCCCTGGCCACGCTTGACTTTCTGGCCACATAGTCGACATACGGCTACGTTTACTTCCTCGGGCGGCTTGACGAAAAATTGCCACACCGCCGAGTAGGAAACTTTGCCCCCGCTACTCCTCACTGGCTGACTGCTACTTCCTCCGTGCACACCGGCACCACTACTGGCCGTGGTGGTAGGCTGCAGTGGAGCTGGTGCTCTACTCCGTGGCCGTTTGCCTCCACTGACACTGCTGCGACCCTGCTGCCTCCTGGGCAACCCACCGACTGTTTTGCTCGCTGGCAAGCTGGCACCCTCTTCTCCTGATGATGCGGAAGCAATAGCCTGATGACGATGAGGCTGCCAAGTGCGATCAGCCTCATCATCATCAATTAGGGTCTCCGCGTCACTACTAGCCCCCTCGGCTGCGTGTGGGTCAGGAGACAGACCTGTCTCTAGACCGGCTACCGAGCCACTCTCCTCGCCACTACTTCTTCGCCTGGCTGCTGAAGAGGCGGATGTCTCCCCCCGTTCCTGACCGCACTCTGTTAGCTCTTCCTCACTGTACAGTGGGGCTGAGCCCACAGCATGCGATACTTCGCTTGGTGAGGGAACACCAAAGGAGGACAGGGGCAGGTAGAGGACACGTGATTTCAGTGGGCTTGCTCCCGGGCCATGCCAACTAACGGTTGTGTCTGACGTTCCCACCGACCGTTGGCTGTAGGTGTCAGAGGTGACCTGGGAAGAGGAAGACGACCGAGTCAACCAATCGATGACGGCAGGGTTGTCGGTGGAGACACGACCGCTGGATGACACCGGGAGCACTGGCCTCTGGCTGCGACTAGTGCTGCCTCGACCCCTTCCTCTGCTGCCACGTCTGCTTGCTCCTGAAACATTGCCTCTTCTGCCACTCCTCTGCGTGTTGTCTGACATACTCTTTAATTCAATAGTGGTTGTGAAGCAGAAAGTAACGATTCTGTGTCCCTGAGTAACAATTCTGTGTCCCCGAGTAACGATTCTGTGTCCCCGAGTAACAATTCTGTGTCCCCGAGTAACGATTCTGTGTCCCCGAGTAACGATTCTGTGTCCCCGAGTAACGATTCTGTGTCCCCGAGTAACGATTCTGTGTCCCCGAGTAACGATTCTGTGTCCCCGAGTAACGATTCTGTGTCCCTCAGTAACGATTCTGTGTCCCTGAGTAACGATTCTGTGTCCCTGAGTAACGATTCTGTGTCCCTGAGTAACGATTCTGTGTCCCTGAGTAACGATTCTGTGTCCCTCAGTAACAATTCTGTGTCCCTGAGTAACAATTCTGTGTCCCTGAGTAACAATTCTGTGTCCCTGAGTAACGATTCTGTGTCCCTGAGTAACGATTCTGTGTCCCTGAGTAACGATTCTGTGTCTGTCCCTGAGTAACGATTCTGTGTCCCTGAGTAACAATTCTGTGTCCCTGAGTAACAATTCTGTGTCCCTGAGTAACGATTCTGTGTCCCTGAGTAACGATTCTGTGGCCCTAAAGTCTCTGTGGCCCTAACTCTGCCTAATACAGACAGGTCTGTCTCTCTTTAATGACCGGAGGCTGATGGAGAATTCTAAGATGGCCGCGATTTATAGCTCCACCATTACACAGTGCTGGCTGGCTGGCTGCTGATTGGCTAATGCGATCACATGTCATGAATGAATGCATTATGGGTCAGCGCGCCTTGTCTGCGCGCCTTCCCAGAGATCCCCGCTCCGTCGCCACACATGTCGCCGCCATTTTTGGGAAAATTCGATTCGTGCATCCGAAGTTTGCTAATTTTCGGATTCGGCGCGAATCGAATTTTTCCTAATCTTCGAAACGAATTCCACTTCGCCATGTTCGATTCGCTCATCTCTAAATTTAATTCCACACTTAATAAAGATCTTTTTTTTGTACCAAACAATACCTGTTTGTGTCTTATTAACCGGAATCAATTTCCACAGTCAATTTATTACAAGCTGTTAAAGAAATATGGCGCCATTTTAAGTTCATTAGTGTATTTGTCATTTTTTAGATTTGACAGTTCTTGGAGCCTGAGATGTGCATGATGGAAAAATTTATTTTGCTTTGTATTTGTTTGTTAAATGGATGTCTTTTTTTGTTTTGTTTTTTTTTAAATAAAAATATGTTAAACTTACCTGCTCTGTGAAGTGCTTTTGCACAGAGCAGCCTGATCCTTCTCATCTGGAGTCCCCTACCGACGCTCCTGGCCTCTCCTTCCTGCTGAGTGCCGTAAGAGCAAGAAGATTACTCTAAGTGTGCTATAGAATTTATGCAGTACAGAAATTCAGCCTCCAACAGTAATGTAAGAACGCTGCATCTGTGGCATCTGACAAACTAGAATTCACTCCTAGGCAGTTCACAGAGCCATGCTATTAAAAGTGTCTTACTGCAAAGGTCACACCTCATTTTATGTTGCTCCTAGCTGCAGGTTGCCTTTTATAACAATGTAAATGAGATCATACTTTATTATCTGTACACACCTAGATTAGCAGGAACTTTGCCCCTTAACAAACAATTTATCCAACAATCCTTTGCTCATTACAGAGCTAATAAATAGGTTCTAAAGGGTTAAGGATTGCTTTTTTTTGTATCTTAACCCTTTTGCTGCCAGGCCCTGCACTCCACTTTTAAACCCAGGTGGCCAGACCATTTTTGCAATTTTCCATTGCTTTTTCATTTTTCCCTTATAGCTTTCAGAGTTTGTAAAAGACCCCCCAAACCATATATTTTCTGAAAGCACATGACCAGTAGAATAAAAAGAAGGTGCTAATGATTTTTAGGGCCCCAAGATATTTGTGCAAATGTTTATCAAAACATTATTTTTGCTAAAAATTCACTAAAATCATTATTAGCAGATGCAAACACAGCACATTTAAAATAAAAATCCTACTAAATATAAAAGCTTAATTGAGTTAATAAATAACAAATATTTCTACATTTTAAATTGCACCTTTTTGCGAAATGGTGACAATCGAATGTAAGCAAAACTGTAAATAATCACATTCCTCTTAAAATCTGGAGGTTTTACATTTTTTACTTACAGCTTTCAGAGTTTATAGAAGACCACAAAACCATATATTTTATGAAAGCACATGAATATTAGAATTAAAAGAATGTGCTACTGATTTTTAGGGACCCATGATATTTGCGCAAATGTTTATCAAAACAATATTTTCACTAAAAATACACTAAAATCATTATTATCAGACACAGCAAATGTTACAAAATTCCTGCTAAATTCCTACTACATATAAACGTTTACCTTGTATTGAGTTAATAAAGCCCAAATATTTGTAAATTTTGTAAGTTTTAACTTACAGTTTTTAGAATTTGTAAAAGACCCTCCAAACCATATATTTCCTGAAAGCATGTGAC